CTGTGCCAGCGCAGCTGAGGAGAGTGGCAAAGGATGGGAATGAGAAATGTATGGGAAGGATATGAATATCTTACATTGGCAGTGATGACAAAGACTTCGTTTTTTAAAAGATAAAAGTTTGACTTTGTCCTTTCTTACCACACAGCACATTGTAGGAAGCATTGCAAGGTAGTATGTAGAATGAAAAGACTTTACAAACAGAAAGTTGTTGGACTGCTGGCTAATTGGTTTTGCTAATTTTCCCTCTTCCAGTTTGTAGCTGTAGTGTGTATTTAAATATATTGTTTCAACATCATTTATACCTTTGTACTTTAGCAGAAATACTTACATCCCCCACTGATCTTTGTCCAGAGCCGGTGTCTTTTTTTTGACACCATGTCCCAGACAAGTTCTATTTGTCATAATAGACTGCTAGGAGCTTGCAAAGGTCTAATTTTTTTCCCAGTCCTTCTACATCTTGATGACAGGCAGAGCTATCAGCATTCCACACCCTGGGGTAACAGGTCAGCATAGCTGCTGGTGACAACAGAAGCCTGTATCTGAAATGGAGCAGATATTAGGATCAGCCCAGAAAATATTATCAGATTTTGTGTGAGCTGTTCAGCCTACTGTGGCAATACAATCTGTTACTTCCTTCCTATAGCACCTCTTGTTGGAGCAAGCACTACATTAATGAAAGCTGTCTTCAGCAAGTAAGCCTAGAGGCGTGACACTAATATAGTGGTGCAACAGTGACTTAGATTTTGAAATTAAATGTACTACTGTAGGTACATATATTCCTGCATTAAATTGTTTATTTTTATGTACTCACACTTGCACACAAACATATATAATGCACTTCATTCTTACTGTATTTGCAATCCAAGTGGCTTGGGTAAAAGACATTCTGTCATGTAGGGCCTATGATAAATACATATCTAATTTTTACACCAGCTACTGAATATGTTTAATAACTGCTTCTCCCGAATTTAGATCTTGATGAACCTTCCTGAGCCATGTACCCTGCCTTGCCTTTTATCCTGTGTACAGAGACACAGACTATCTTTAATCCATGTATCTGTCCTCCTCACTCTTTTCTCTCCTCTCTCTTTGGCCTAATGTTAGATACTGAATTTTGGCTGGTTATATACACAGAATAAATGTGCTAGGTCAGGAAGTTTCTCCTTTCAAATAAACAAATACATTGTAATTACTTTCTTTATTTTTTTTCTGCCTGAAGAAGTAAGCATCATTTGGCTTCACCACAGGAGCCAAGAGGCTGCAGTATTAAACTGGTCATTTGTTTCTCAGTCTGCTCAAGTGCCTTGTCTTGAACATGTAAAAAATGTAGCAGAACTACATGGGCTTTCCAGAATGTTTTGACCTGGGAGTAGTACATGAAGAGAGAAATACAAAGTTTTCAATAGCAAAAGAAGATGGAAAAATCAAAACTCTTGTTGTTTCTTTGAAAAAAAATACTAGAATATTTCCTTAATAAAAATACACGTTAGTGTTTGTTTTTCAATCCTGTATGCACTCATAATATATAGTTTAATTACAGGAAATATGTGTTTGATGCATGCTCATAAATATTTTTGGTTTTGCTGTGAATGAAGTGTTGAGCACTCTAACAAATTGTTTTTTCTCTAGATAGTGTTGGACAGGTCCGTGTTTGCCTGGACTCACTGTGTGTGGGAGACTCAGACACTCAGGTGGTGTTTAACTTCTTGCTTCTTGCAAGACAGGGGCCCCAGCTTCTGCTTTAGATGATATGTGTGAGCTACTTTAAAAATATTTTTATTTTTATGCAAAACATTCTTTCTGTAGGTCCAGATATGTGTCAGTTACATTTCCACACACCTCAGACACAAATTACCAGGGCAGCAAATATACATTCAAATTCCAAATATGCTTTAGTAAAGCACAATGTTAAGAATGTCTTATTTTCTTTTTTTTTTCATTTATTTTTTTTTTAAAGCTAGTTAGTGCAGTATTAGGTAGGTCACTCTGGCCACATTCCCAGAATTTAACAGTGGGGGCCTTGTGGAATGCTAAACGATGTGTATAACAGCATTCAGGCTCTCTGTGAGCCAATCCGTCAAAACATTTGCTGCTTTGAAAATGTGCTCTTCAAAAAAATGGGCATATGGAACTTATTAGACTATTTGGTGGAGTTCAGGCAGCAGAGCCCAAAAGAAGCATAAAAACATCTGAGGACACAATTCTACCTTAAGGTAATAGGATCTCTAAACTGTTTTTTGCAATTAAAGGCATACAGAATGCAGGGGAGAAACACCCTGAATGGAGAACATTGCATATTCCAAACAGTCACAAGACCTTAAGTAAAAAAAAATAGTTGTTTGATTGCAGCAATAGTTTGTGTGTTTGGTTCTGTTTCTTTAGCAGAGTGTATTGATTCTTGGTTCTTTAACAGTTTGAGTTGTATCAAGGAGCTCTGAGTCGAAGTTTCACTGCAGTGATTTCTGTGCCTCTGGTGCATTGGCAGAGAGGGTCAATCAGTCTCCTTGGAGATGAAAAAGACAGTGATGCCCATGGGAAACACAAATGAGCTGCCATTTTCCAGCACCTGTTTGTACCTTCTTCCAAGTGATTTCTTTTCCCTGTTGCAGTGAGACCAGAATGACAAACTGAATAAATAACTTAGATTAAATTTTGGCTTTGACAGCCGTAGCAAGAGCTTACACTGGATTTTGTTGCTCCATGGTGTTCTTAGAGCAGACTGTTACATGGTGTCCTTCTCTGGGGACAGAATTAGAGGATGGAGAGCCCTGTGCAATACCTATATTCCCTCCCCTCCTCTCATCTGCTTTGACAGTCTGAGCATGAAACTGTGGCCTGTGCAGGGTATTTACACCATGCTGCTTCATGCAAATAATTAAACGGACATCCTGATCTTGTGTAACTTCTTTCATACAATTGGGTGATATAGGACAATTTAGGAACTCTGACCATCTTTTTCTGTCCCATTAGAAGATGGACAACTAAAGTCTGAGACTTTGTTTTGTTGATATATCCCTACTCAAGGAGTAGAGATCCAGAAAGAGATTCTCTTTCTACATGACTGTAATGCAAGGAGACAAAAAGCCATACTGAATTATTAAAAATGGATTGTTACCTGTAAAAGTAAGGTAAAGTGGTGACTTTGGCTGCTGTGGTATAGAGTGATCTTTGTTATGGCAGTGTTTGAATCAAGAACCGAGATGCACAGCAGGTTGTGACAGTTGTGCTGTTGTTATACAGAATTATGTTCCTAGCAGGTTAACAAGTTTGTGACCTTTACAGGAGTGATGGACAAATAACTTCATGCCACACTGTGCTGGAATGAAACATCTTTGCCTTCATGCACAGCTCCTTGGAAACTTCAGTGACTCTTGTCCAGCAAGTTTAATATGATAGTAGGCAATATCATGAGACTCAATTTGTTATCATTGCTACCAGGAATTCAAATGGAGTGCCCCTATCTACTCTGAAGATAAGTTTTATTGTTGTGCAATGCAAAGGTCCTTGAAATAAGCTGTGGCATCCACAAGAGAACTCTTGTTTTTTTGGGTGGTTTTTTTTTTGGTTTTTTTTTTTTTTTTTTACTTTATCCTGGCATTTGGAAGGGGCTGTTGAGATAGAAAAGTTTCCTGGGAACTGGGCAGTGCTGTATGTGGAAACCTTTGAAAAAGGAAATTGCCTGTAATGTATTTCTGGTTGCCTCCATTTCCAGACTGCAGTAAATGAGTAAATCAAGTTAAACTGCAAATATACCTCCAGTTTTCTGCCACTGATTTTCCCACCTGAGAAAAATCAGTCTGCCACACTGAAGAACTGAATCTTCATATGGCAGGAGCATGGCACTGGAGGAACAGTTCTGGAGCCAGGACAAAACTTTCTCCCATAATGCAGACATGAAAGAAAGTAGCCCCAAAACTGCCTGGATAGAAACTTCAGAAGTTCTGTGCTTTGGCCTTCTGCCATTACTTTTGAAGTCAGGGACTTCTCCCATCGTGTTAGATTTTAACAGTCAGAAAAATTTCAACCCCTTTTTAAAAACATCTTACCCACTGTTTTCAGTGCATGGTTATATTCGGAAGATTTTGGTGCTGGAAAGAATTGTGGCATTTTTTAAATCCAGAAGATGGCCTCTCTGATTTGTTCATATTAGCCCTGTACTTTTAGGGTCCACTTGATTCTCTTCCTGACACAGTATGATGCTACAGATAGCCCACTGGTATTTCCTTATTCTGAGTCCCACAGAAGTAAAATGCAAAGAGTGGCATGTGACAGAAAGGCAGACGCAGAATTGCCTCCAGCAGCTGCACTGCCTGCAGGTCTGGGGTGACGTGCAGTGTGTCATGGAGGATGGTCTCTTCCTTTGTGCCGTCTCCCTTCTCCTTTCTGACATGGAACACTGTGCTCACAGCGCTGTGAGAGCTTTTCTGGGAAGGTTAGTCATGTAATACTGGTTTTTGTTCTTATGGCTCTGTTTCCAAGAACAAAATTGATGTTTGCACCTCCTCACGCTGTGTGCTGGGTACAGCATCCAGCTTTAGGTCACAGCCTTATAGACAGGTTTTCTTTTTTTTAGTGTAAATATGGGTTGATGTTTAGAGGTGTGGGTTGCTGTCACACCTCTAATTAAATTACCAAGCTTTTTGAAGACTTTGAGTCAAATAGGATTTTTTAAAGTCTTACAGGTTTAGTACTCAAAATTCAGTTGTGGAAGTAACTAAACAAATGAAATGTTTGATATTGAAATCTGCCTGTATTCTGTTCTCTCTTCTAAATGGTATCTATTGAGACATTAAGCTTTGTTCTGCCCAGGTTACTTAATTTATTTATATAATTTTAATTTATTTTATATTGGTATTCTGCAGCTACTTCCAAAGGGATTTGTGCCTGGAAAAATTAGAAAAATGAGCCATGTAAGTCCATGAGAGAGGTTATAAAATAAACATTATACCATATGTGGGGTACCATTTTTTACTGCAAGTGGCTGCTCTCACTTTTTTGGCACTTAAACACACAGCCACCTGTTTGAACACTGTTTGAAGTGGCTAAATTCCAGCATTTATGTAACTTGCTTGTAGAAAGGAAATGACATCACTTAGTTTCCTGAAGATTATTACCAATGTCAGAACTGAGGAAATAAAATCTACAATAAATAGAATATTTTAAAATATTTTTTTCTCTTTTCCAGTAGGACATCTCTCCATCCTGTTCTGCTCATCCCTTCAAAGACCAGGAAACCCCATTAATTTCACATAGACTTCCACACACGCTGCCATGAGCAGGCTGCAAGCTGCTGTAATTTACGTGTTACATTGATGAAATGAAATCTGGCAAGACAGGAACGAAATTATACAATGACAAAGCCTGCAATGTGCCTTCATGTAAAGATATAGGCATAAAATAACAACAACAATTTCATAATTAGACTGTGTAAAGCTTCAGCATGTTCAAGTGACTGCAAAAGTGGAGTAGCTGGGAAAAAAGCTGGGAACCATTTTATGTAGGCACGAACCATATGACAGGACCTGAGGAACTGGCATGAATTGTGTTAGGGGACATTTGGTTTGGATATCAGGAAATGGTTTTTCTCCCAGAGGGTGGCTGAGCACTGGAATTGGCTCCCCAGGGAAGTGACCACAGCACCAAGCCTGACACAGTTCAAGGACTGTTTGGATAGTGCTCTGAGGCCCAGGGTGTGACTCCTGGGGCAGGGCAGGGCTTGGACTACATAATCCTTGTGGGTCCCTTTCAACTCAGCATTTTCTGTGATTCTGTGATATTTGGTTTTAAATGTAAAGTTTACGTTATTAGAGTCTTCATAAAGGCTGCATGTGTTCTGAGATATTTGTTTTAAATCTTTGCCAGGCTATAAAGTTCCTCTACTGGTAATTTTAACTGAGCCATGTTGAATTACATTACACGAGGGCTTCATCGTACTCTGTGATGCCAGGAACATTTCAAAATTTGTCCTAGCTGATAACTCCTGTTTTACTGTCTGCTTTTTCTACAGTAAGTTATCAAGTGAATTAAAGACTACTGGATCACCTAGCTAGCAGCCCAAATAAAATAGAAAGGTCTGTTACTTCTTAAAAAAATTTTGGCTAGAGTTTGCTTTTTAATTTCTTTTTGTGAGGGATATTGCAAAATAGACAAGTCGTATTCCTAGAAGGCCAACTTTGGCAGAAGTTTCATATCACCTTTATATTTTTTAAGGTACTTCATGTATAACACAAGTATAAACTAATGGCAAACAAACTGAAATTTCCATAAATTGTGTTTTTTCTATGCTTGATTGTTGTTTATATAAACACTGTTGTTTATATAAATGCTTATTCAATACTATTCACAGTGTCCCATAAATTACAGTGCAGCTGGACTTTAATCTGTCTTTATTAAACAGATTTGGGCTGCCTATTCTTCACATTCCTATACTTTTGAAATTTTTTCATAACAGAGTCATTATTCCTTTCAAAAGGAAATGAGAATAAAGGTTGGCCAATGATGACCCTTAATAATTTATAGACTTCATATAATCTTCTTGTTTATGAATGGCTTTGAATATTCCCCAGCATATGTTGAAATCTGAGAAGCCACTCCTACCCACTTGAAAACAAAAATATTACTCATCTTTGTGCCTCCACAAGGAAATTAAATATCCTTAAAAGGTAGGGATACATTTTAACTGGAGATATTGGTTAAAAAACTATGGCATGGTTTTATAATAATAATAGGAAAATCTAATGTAGTCAGAGATGTGAGGAACAAAGGAATGTATTTCCACATGATTATTTGTACAGATTTTCCAGGCTGAATCAATACAATCTGAAATGCTGAATTTAATGATTTTTTTTTTTTTTCTTTTAATAGAGCAGCTTACCATAGGAGCTGAGACCTCTGTTTTGGTGAGTACTCACAAATAAAGTTAATTATGTCAATGACTTCCTGGATGCTGATATTTACCTAAACCAAAGGATAACTGAACATTACTGTGAGATAATACTGAAGTTTGCTATTCATTTAGATAGCATTTGGGGCAGTGTATTATAAAACAACAGTTCAAAATACATTAGTTAGAACCAATGTGAAAATACAGTGATTGTTACAGTGAATTTGGTCTTACAGATTCCTAGCATGGAAGTTACTCAGTAAAGTTAGCATTCCTTGCAGATGTCAATTGTATTTCTATAAACTAGCAGTAAGCCTGTTAAATCACCAAGTCTCCTAAATCCTGTGGTTCTGAAGAGTGGTCATATTATAGTCTTAAGGGAATGTCTGAAAGGATGAACTCAAGTTTGATCAAATCCCCAGAACTGAATGGCTGGCTAAATATAAATCTCTGCATTTAGTCTCAGTTATAAATATGTATATATGATCAATGAAATAAGATCCAAAAAGTCCTTCAAAGACTTATGCAAATGAGTGTAATCTGTAGACATGTCAACTTTAATAAAAGTGGTGAGAATTAGAGTGAAAACTTTGCTCTTCCATCTGATATTTACACTTTTTTTGCTAATTATCATTTCTTAAAATTCCATTTCTTTTTCTAGTGGAAATAATTTGTGCTTAGTCAAAAGATATCTCCTGTGAGTTTCCCAGTTGTAGTTGTGTGTCTGATTTTTAACTGCTCTAAATACCTGTTTTTGTTGTGGAACCACATTAATGATTACAACCTAAAATTATGTAACCCACTGGGAGTCAACACATTCATATCGGGTATCTAAGGGTATCAATGCATCTGCTTTTGTAGGCTTGTCTAATTTTAAATTTTTACTCAATAAGAGAAACAGAAAAATGAAGCAAAACAAAATGAAACAAAAGAAACTAACCAAATAAAAAACCATACACAAAAAAATTTAAACCAAACAAAATAAGCACAAACAAATCCACAACCAACCAAGAAAACAAAACCCAAAAACCCGAAGACTTCCCTGAAGTCTAAAAACATATAAACTATGAAGAAGTTAATTATCATTTCTTGACCCTAGGAAGTTATTTTAATTAGAAATATAAACATATAATTTTCTTGAAATTGTTATAGTCTCTTCAGAGAGGGAATGCCTGAGCTTACAGAAAAATGTAAAACATTTTTTGCTTTTAAATTTTTTTCCCCAAAATAAACCAGGAAGAATTGGTGTCCCTCAAATCTCCCATTGCATGGGAGTCCTGGCTAAGTAAGTGACCTTAAAACTGGAAGACCACAGAGGAAGGATCTGGTAATGGGAACAGAAGTTTCTAACGTGATGAGGGTTCAAATTTAATTTATTAATCTTACAGTTTAGTAGGTTGTCAGCTAATGTGTAGGAAGTATCCAAACCCTAGGATGCCTAGTTTAACTCTGCCACAGGGCTTCTGCAGCTTGTTGTGGGCCTTGAGAGCCCTCAGGAGCACGTGGCTCCAGCTCCCTAACAATATCAAAAACTTGTCATCCCTAACATTGACATGATCTTTCTTACAAGTTTGTCTAAGAACAGAAAGCCTCCAGACCCAGCAGATGAGCTGGCAGGAAACAATGCAGGCTTTCCAAAAAGCCTTTAAAATATATTGGGCAGGAATATTTGTTCATGAAATTTATACCATTAAAAAAAGTTTAAAAAGCAAAAAAATGGAAAAAAAAGGTGCACCATTAGTATATCTTCAAGACTTCTGTTTGTATTGCTAAATTACTGGTTTTAATTGTACACAATATTGGGGATTTTCTTATAGCTTCACCTCTGCTCTCATTATTATGGTTATGGTCACAAGCCAACCAGGCATTTAAGTAAGGCTTTATTCACTCTAAATTCCCAGCATAGATATGTTCAAGACATGAAAATCTATTCTACAGGAAAAAGCCTTATTCTTAATAGTATCAGAGGAGTACTGGTAGAATGAATTTACTGTATATCTGAAAATGGGGAATAAACTATGACAGTAGGGTAGAAAATATTAAATGAAAATATGAATGCCTAACATGGTGTGGGGTGCATTTCCAAGCAGCATGTGTTGCATTTCTACAGTGCTATACAATTTAGAGTTTTCTGTAAGAACATTTGTGGTGTGGAGGACTTAGTATTTTGAAATTTGATTTAAGCATAGGGTGAAATCCCTAAATTCCAATACTGTCAGTGAAGGAGAAAGTGCCCTGGACTTCCAGTGTCCTACATGACTGATCCAGTTGTGAGGACATGGAAGTCTCACTTTTTTTTTACCTTGGTCACCTGCAAAACCATCCAGCTGGAGAAAGCATTGCTATGGGAGGATGCTTGTGTTTGAAGGCTTCAGTATCCTAAATGCACAGGTCCCTTCCCTGCCCATTTTGTTTGTTTGCTGTGGGATGGTACAGTGGTTGCAAAGCAGTTGTTGCAGATCCTGCCTGCCTCACCATCCCCTCAACTCACCCCTTAGAAGAAGGTCACCAGCCTGTCCAAACTCTTCCTGGAGAATCAGGGAAATTTTTTTGAAATTTGGCAGCTCTGAGGTTCTGGAAAGTGCTTTTGCCAGATTTTTCTGAGCAGGCAGATGATCTGCAAGGAGTTGGGTGAAATTCTCAACGCCTTGCCCTAAGGGAATGAATCTCTTATGTTCTTATTTGGGTTCCCTTGGAACAGGAACCAAACTAGGTTTGTAGCAAGCTTTATGAAATTATGAAATCATTTGTGTGGGGAAAGATCACCAAATCCATCTGTTAACACAGCACTGCCAAGTTCACCCCTAAGCCATGTCCCTTAGCACCACATCTGCAGTTTTTAAAAATATTTCCAGGGATGGTACCTCCACCACTTCCCTGAGCATCCTGTTCCAATGCTTGGCAACCTTTCCATGAATAAATTGTTTGTAATATCCAATGTAAATCCATCCTGGAGCAAGTTGATGCTGTTTCCCTCCTCACTACAGCCTCCTTTCAGGCAGTTGTAGAGAGTGATAAGGTCTCTCCCAAACCTCCTCTTCTCCAGCCTCAACATCACCCTCAGCTGCTCCTTATCAAACGTGAGACCCAGACACTTCATCAGCTTCGTTGCTCTTCTCTGGACTTGCTCCAGCACCTCAACATCTTTCTTGAGTTGAGGGGCCCAGAAATGAGCACAGTATGGAAAGTAAAACCTAACTAGTGTACAATGGGGGGCAATCCCTGCCCTGGTCCTGCTGGCCACACTGTTGCTGATCCAGGCCAGGATGCCACTGGCCTTCTTGGCCACCCTGGCTCATGTTCAGTGGCTGTTGATCAGCACCCCCAAACTGCCCCAGAAGGCAAAAATAACCCAGGTACTTGTTAATAAATCCCATTAGTGTGAAATGACACTGAATGATTGCTGTTTACAAATGTATATGTGTATATATATATATATACATGTATATATGTATGTATATATTTATATATATACACATGTAGGGTTTATTTTGGAACAATTTGGTTGCAATGAAAAGCAGGTATGTAACCTTTTTGGTTGTTATCTATAGTGATATATACATATATATATATATATATATATATATAGTGATATATATATAGTGACATAGTGATACAAAAACATAAAAATAGCACTTAAGGAAATATATTGAAGAAGAGAAAGAAAAAATGGGTAAGAGTAGAAAGGTGTACAGCCACCATTTGAGACCCCAGCGGCAAGACTAGGTTGTAGCAATTTTATTGGCCGAAGTGATGGTCACTGTCTTGTTGAAGTGATGGTCACTGTCTTAATCCATCAGGGGTGGGGGAACCCCATGAAGCACGAAGTCCAATGGGTTAATGTATGCTCAGGTTTAGGTGGGAATGACTGTGTACTTCCCCTAGTGAGGGGACCTTTCAGGTGGAAGTCCTGAAGGATGAATCTGGGGACACTTTGGGGGTTTTTGGTGGTTTACAACTTCTAGGACATGAAAGCCACCTCTCAAGTTGATGTAGTTCAGCCAACTATGCACTCTCAGAAGGATGAATTTTCTAGGCCAGCCTGTGATTGTGAATATCTCCTGTGAATGTGGCTGGCCTTCCCTGGGGGCAGGGTGGGAGTTTTACAACTGAGCCTGAGTTTGTGTAAGGGAAGGCAGCTGGCATGATAAAAGGCACTATTCCTTCTCTGCAGGGTCTGCCTCTTTTCTGGCTTGGGACCTCCTCTCTCTCTTGTGTGGACCAGAGACTTGCCTCTACATGCCCAAAATCTCACCTTCTCCTCCTCAGGGGCTGCAAATCTGGCCTCAGCAAAGCACCCTGCCAAATCCACAAATAAGCAAGGCTTTTGTGTCATTAACCATTAACTTTTCAGTCTCTCACAGTCCATTTCCATCAGACAACTTTCCAGCCCTTCTTCCCTGTGCAATTTGATATCAGAAAAACAGTCACATTTTAGCATCACCACCAAACCCTGAACAAAACATAATAATTGAGATTTTTCATCAGATCCTCGTGCTTGTTCTCCTTCTTTATTGACTATTTGAAAAAGCAGCAGAGAGAAAGATGTGGTGAACATCTTTCTGGTGGTAAGATGTGGTAAACATCTGCAGAAAGAAAATGTGGTAAATATAAATGTAGAAAAAAGCAAGAAATTAAAAATTCTGGTAAATTTCTGGGTTCAATAGAGTTCCCCAGGAAAAATATGAAGAAAGCATTTTTAAATAGTTCTGAAGAACTTTATGCAATTTTCTTGAAGTAGTGTTTCTCTGAAAACAGTTTAGGCAGTACTTACTTCACAGAACCGTTTCTGACTTTACACAACATTTGCTCACTTTGGCAATGTGTTTTCCATTGTCAGCCTTTCAAAACCAGTAGCACTGGCTTCCCTTTTATGCCTGATCTGGTGTTCTTAGGTCATAAGGTACAATTAAACATTCAAATGTATTGCTTTGTGAATTAAGTATATTTCAATCTGGCAAAGCATGATCAGCTAGACATGGAAGTGTACCTTGCTGTGTTTCTGAGAGAGGTGAGGTATTTCACAGAGCTTTCTTCTGCACTTTCCAAAAGAACAGAAGCTGGTCTACACATAGGATTGGGAAAGCATTCATGTGATGCCAGAACTTACTGCAAATTCCTATTCAACAGCTTCAATACTGCTTACAGAGTTGAAATATCCTTTACACTAACACCACAGTTCTTTCTATAAGTAGCTTTCTCTTAAGCTACTGCTGACTTAACCCATTTCTCCCCTTTCTGCGGCCTATGTTCAAGCCCACTTTGTGCTGTCATTTTGGTGAACATGACCAGAATACTTCATACAGCTGGAAAAATTCACCTCAAACATTAGGGGGAGAACTGTGTGGAGGGTTATTTTTCAGCAGGATCTACTGAAAAGAGTTACACAGATGTTTCTGAGGCACAAAGTGGCAGAGACATCTGCAAAATTAAACTCCATAAAGAGTGGCAGTGAAAATTGGCCTTTAATACATATAAAATTCCTTCCATATCAAAGTGCTCTTTCCTAAGGGAAAAGTAGCAGTCTTAGTGGGGAAAAAAAAAAATCCCATTTACACAGGTCAAATAGCATTTATAAGTCCCTAGAGGAAGACAGATGGTCACCTCTGGAAGCACTGGAGTGTTTGGCTGAGTGGCAGATCCCTGTGTTCCTCCCGCCCCCAGACCCAGCAGTGGCAGCAGCGCACACGCCAGGGCCCCTTGGCTTCACAGTACAGCCCAGAAGGGTATTTATTCTTTTGTGGGCTTCAAAAACAGGAAGTGACATTTCAAGTAATTGCAGATTTAATGTGAGCCTGTGGCTGGTCCCTCTGCATTGTCCCTGCTTTCCTGTTTGAGCTTGGAGGAAGTGGCCAGAAGGATAGGGGGAAGGGAAACCTGCCTATGATGCTTCTGCAACTGCAGCCTACATTACTTAGGGGAAGAGGGACAAAAACATATTCAAACCCTTGCCAAAGGCTTGCAAGAAATATGTGACATCTAACCTTTTACAACAAGTGGGAGTTAAAGGTTAAATCACATACAACCCAAGTGTTTAGGAAAAGGATATGTTTATGTCATCAGCTTCTGTTGGGTTGTAAAGAAACAAGGGAATGGGTTCTGGCTATCAGGAAAATACATGATGGCTACTATTTATGAACATGAAAAGGGCCAATTGGTTCTACCTATTTGTGTTTTCACATCCAAATGCCCATTTTAACTCAGGTAGCTGAAGTGGACAGAGCGCAGGGTGGACGCCACTAAGTACTTGTTTTGCCTCTGTGCATCTAGACATCAATTATTCCCCAAATATTCTAATTTCCCATGTAATATCACTTCTTTTGTGGAACTGCCACGAAGGAATCTGGCAATCAGCATTTGCCATTGCTCTCATGCAATTTATGGAGCTAAAAATCCAGACTAGGCATGTGTTTTCTAAAATAATATATTAGTATTCTCTAAACTCAGTGATGGAAACACCATTTTTGTTGTGAAGTGCCAAAAAGACTCCATAGGCAATTTCAGTCTATATAACACTAATATTTCAGTGGTTGTAATTCTGGAAAAGTGATTCTGCTGGCCTTTGCTTCTTCAGTCAGCTGAAAAAGTAGCTGAATTCAGGAGGAACTACTCCATGAACTCAAAAAAATACTTTTTCACACTTAAATTCTATCACTTGTAGGAATTTACCCAACAAAGACTGATGACTGTCAAGAAAGAAAATCAGTCATCCTCCCCTGAAGTAATAAATATAATTTGTATGTTGGAGCTTTCTCTTGGTACAGATTACCCAGCCATTGTCAGGGATCTGTCTCACCTAACTTTGGCAGTTCAGAACTAGTTGCTTCCTCTACCTACACTGGAGGTGCATGGGACCCGTTGTAAGAAAATTCAGCTCATATGCCTTTATAGATGGTTAGATCATTGATTATAAAGGGAAACTATACAAATGCCTCATAATAAATTTCTAATTTTAGATGGCTATTGTAGGGTAAGCAGAATACTGCTATGAAAACTAAATATTCTATATTTTGCAGAAATAAAATTAAAAATAACTTTGGGAGGCAAATTAAAGGCTAGTATTAATCCTCTGTGAATGTGCCTCATTCATTAAGAAGAAATGCAATACTGCATAATCATTCAGAGTACTCGGTATTATGTGCCAACAAGTTGTAGCATGAATATAAACATTGTGCTGGCAGGGCAAGAGTGTCTTTTGGAAATTTTCCTTTCAGAATAAGCAAAGCTGCCAATATCACCCGCAGAAAAAAAAAAAAAAAAAAAAGTAGAACAATAGATCAAATAAGTGTTCCAGCACAGGCTTTTCTATTAATATTATGTCAGGGTAGAGGTTATTGATGTTTAATTTAGTAAACAGTATGCCTTGAGATGCAGACATTCTGCCAGTAGTCCTCATTTATAAAATTGAACAGTCTGGAAGTTATTCTAGGATGTTTGATTATTTTATTTTTAGTTAAGTCCTTCCTCATTGGTGGTGTTGTGTTCCTCAGATCACTGTTAAAAATATTTCCTCTTAATGATTCTATTTTTCCTGCAGCTAGGCAACTGTGATTTGAGTCTCAAAAGTCAGAGGCAAAGACAGAACTTAAAGATCAGATCCAGAGGCTGGACAGAAGGAATGAAGATGTCCTCACTGACCATCTTCTAGAGACCATTCTTTCCCTGTATTAATGCCTTTCCCTTATGCTCACTGGGTCAGCTCATCAGTAACATGTTTAAGTGCATGAGCATCAATGTCACCATGCTGTCAGTTGTCACCTTGCAGTGTTAACAGCCAAGTCTTCCACAGAATGGGGGAATTTGAGCTTTTCAGACTTGTATTTCCATTTTCTTCTCTCCTACCCCTTCTGAATTTCATCTGTTCTACTTCAGCCTCCTATTTTGCTGTTCCTTCAGTAGGGAAGAAAATTTAAGATGCTTGCCTAACAAATAAGATATCAAAACTTTCCTCCAAGCTGGACAAAGGAGTTGTGAATCTGTTCTACACCCTGGGTGCTACTTTAACCACTGGATTTATATAGGGTGGAAGAGAGAGAATTGGCAGAAGATATTGAAAGAAAATGTCTTAGAAATTATGCAAAAAACAAAATTGAAAACCAGCAAACTAATGTACCTGTTGTCAGACAGACCCGCTAGTTAAATAGGCAAGGTCTCCACCTTTTTCTTTGTATCACAAACTGACCCCTCAACATCCTTCATTTCAGGTGTTAGTGTTGTAGTTGTGGTGTTTTTTCTTTCCTCTCTTCATTAATCCCTTACAGCCACTAAGAAGAAATGGGAGCAAGGTGAGAGTGCTTGGCAAAGGACAGCTCATTGCAGATTTGAGTCTGTAGATAGCCATTTAGTGTCAGATATGTTGGCTGGACTCAAATTATTTCTGCATAGACCATCTTGCTTGACTGTTTACTCTGAGAGGCCTTGATAAATATTTTACATTGCCAAGAATGGAACTATTAGTAATCAAATAAATAAGTTTTAAATACCAAATAAATAATTAATAATAACAACACCAACAAATAAATAGTCTTTCCTTTTTTGTTAAGTAGGAATTTGTACTAGGTTAGGAGAAAAAGCATGACTTGAACTTCATCTTTCAGAGGTTTCAATGCTCTGAGATAATGAGGTCCTCCCAAGCCTTTGCCTTCTCTTTGCAGAGTTCCAGAAATAATCATCATGAGTCATTGGTCCAGGAAAATGTGTCCCAGAGATGTCCAAACAAATGAACTCCAGCCCACTAGCCGTGGATATGCTGAACATATTTGTTTATTTCAAAATATTAATTTTGTTCACATGGGGAACATACTGTCATAATTTTACTTTGTTATTCAAGTAGATGCTCTATACTATTAAACAACTGATGATAACACCACACTGTCCTCAGTTTTAAATTTATATTATATAGTTAAATGAAGAGTCAGTGTAATGTAAAATGCATTTGGCGGAAATTTTGTGAAATACCTTCCATATTTTTTCCCAATTCTTTTACAGACTGCTATTATTTAAAAAGATTTTTCAGGTTTTTGTAATGCTGACACTTAAAGCTAGTTTCTTAACATGCTTCATTTGGAAAAGTGGAGATAAATGCCTCTGAGAGTGCTGTCACAGGCAGCTGCACAAATTCTACTTCTTAACATAATATATTTCAGCTGAAATTTGGGGAAAAATAATTGCTATATTATTAATAATTTGCTTTCCCCAGAAGCAATTTGACATACAAAATGCTTGGTATTTTTCCTTAGTCTTGTGATCTGACCATGCAGCCACACCTTATCATTGTGGTATAAGTTTAGAGTGTCTTATAAGTGCAATTCAAGCTCTCAGATTTGATGGGATACAGAAATCAACTGCTCTGTCCCTTGAACTGTAACCTTAAACAACCAGGCCTTTTCCTTCCCCATGGGAATCATGTGATTGCACTCTCAGCGGATAATTTTTACATATTCTTTTATGGTATTTCCTACAGAGGAAACCACCCTGTTATCTCACTTTAAAGATTACTAATGAGCATTGTCATGTTCAATCTTTTTTTTTTTTATATATGTCTTCTTCCCTTTCAGCTTACCTAAAACCATATGCTTTAGAAGCAGCAAGAAAGGATCACAGATGTATTTTTTCCTCCACAGGACAAAAGAGAAACTGCGATAAATACGATAACAAGCTGTTAATGAAGAAACTTCACTGTAATATAGAATGAAAAATAGTTCAGCAGAAAATTTGTGACTTTCTACCAAAAAAGAAGTAAGTTACAATTTTAAGTCATCACAGAAAAGGTTCTGTAGTATCAGACAGTTGATTCCAACAGGATACAGTTTTCAGGAAGAATTTATGTTCTTTTGTTTGTGCAATCCCTCACAAGGTCACAGCTACTATGCCTTCACAGACTCTTACATTTCTACAGTAACTTTTTCTTCAGAAAACAATTCAAGCAGGTTTTAAAGGCTCATGAGATACAGGAAGGTCTCAGAAACAGAAGCACAATAAACTGAACACTGCTCTCAGTTACTCTCACTTGTCCCTAAAGCAATCCAGAATTTAGGCTGCTGTACCTGACAAGAGATTTTGACTCACCATCACTCATAATTGTTGTGCCATACAAAGTAGGATGCCTTATTGTTGAAAGAAAGTCAGGGGCAATGCCAATTCAGTTTTTGTCTGAAAAAAACATGGATATTCTCTATACAGAGACACAGTCTATTTGTCATGCATAATATGTGGTCTTGAATGACATGACATGTTTTTACAAAGTGCATCTTCCCTGTATTGAAAAAAATCAACTGCATGAGTCAAATATTTCTGTAGTGAAAAACAAAGGACTCCAATAAATAAAAATTCTGGTTTAAGCTAATTTGTTGTTCTGAGAATATGTACTCACTACTCTTTTATTGCTTGTGAAAGTGATTATTAAATGACCAGCTGCTGACATACATGAGCAAATTCAAAGCATTAATTCCTGAAATAGCTTTCAGATTCTGAGAGTGGAAAAATCATGAAAGAAAGTATTTCTTACAAGATGTTCCTTTGTGACATCCACAAAAGACTACTTGCTCCTGTTTTTCCCTCTGTGGATTATGATTATGTTTCCAGGCATCTGACTGCAAATCCAAGATTGTAGGGCTCCTTTACAAGTTCTAAAATGCTTGACTTCATATTCTTCCTGCATGCCTTTGCAATTATTTTGCTATAGGCATTTTAATTCCACTCCAGGGACAATTAAGACATTTTTAGCAATGGAAGTAAATTTAGCTCACCAAAACTCAGTGAAGTAATAATACAGGTCAGGTGGGAGAATTTCATCATTACAGGAAAGGTAACAGGACTCACTTGGTAAACAAATGTGCTTTTTTCATCTACTAGTGGCATGTTCTGGAGGATCAGAAGATAATCTGTTGCAACTACTTTTCTTTAATTCAGGTAATATGGGGCTTTTTATTTAGAAATTAAGATTCTAAATTTAATATAAAGATAATATTCTATCAGAGTATAAATTGATTTGTTATACCCCAACTGTTCACTAAAATTTTCTTCCATTTCTCAAGACATGTGACAGGGAACTTTTCAAAAGTTAGAGAGTTGTAGAATTTTGTGTATTTTAAAATCTAGGCCAAAAGAAAAAATAGTCTTTCATTCTACATCAAAGGATACTTTTTTTTCCCTGAACTGCAGAGTCACTGTTTGTTAGAAAGATCTTCCTTTGATACTTCCATGGAATTGAAGAATTTGCATCCCGATTAGTTCCTGTCAAAAAAATTCATAGTGGATTTTGAGTTTCCAACCAAAATTTAGAAAGCAATAAATGGTTCAAAAGTCATGTTTTCACAAGTCTGGAGTTCAAGTAATTTTTCCATGTGCCATAAGCCTGGACAGACTGTATCTTTCATGATGTACCATGCCCTCACATGCTCTGATCTTACTGGAAAGTTTTCTGCCCTGCCTATTGTGCAAGACTTTTTGAACAAGCAGAATAAATTGAGCTTTCTCCGTCTCTTATTGTAATTTACTGAATCACTACTGCAGACCTCTATCTCAATTTTCAAAGTTGTCAGCTTCCTTATTAAAAGAAAGTGTTGACACCAGATCTGGAAAGATTATTATAGTGAGAGGCTCTGCAATTTCTGTATTAAATTACTTCCCTACTCCCACCTTCAGGTTTCCTGCTAATGCATCTGGGAATTGCATTTAGCTTCTTGCACAGGCACCAAAGTTCCCATATGCTTTCCAGTGTTGGTGCTTTCCAGGATACCATCTCCTACCCTAACACTGTGTCTGGCAGCTGTGTTTGTTGGTATCTGGCATAGAATTTAGCTGTGTTAAAGTGATGTTGCTGAAGCAAAGCTACTTTAGGAAGCCACACAGCCAGCTTATGTAACTGATCAGTTCACATCTCATTTTCACCTCCAATGAATTATACTGATAAATATTGGATGTTGCTAGGATTTAAAATTTTTTATACATTTTTTATACATTGATGTATAAATTACTCTGGTGTTGCCTATCAGCAGTTATCATGCTCAATAATTTTACCAAATTAATAACTATTGGCTAAATACTATTTTCTGTGGCCAGTTTAAATAATTTTATCCTTTAATATTTAATTCTAATGGCCAGAGAATTTCACTGACTTCTTTAACTTCCTTCTTCTTTTGTCCATGTTTTTAGCCAATATTATCCTTTCTAGTGGCCAAGAGTTTTCCATACCACATTCATGCGCAACAATTACAAATTAATTCATTCCTCTTGATATTGTTTTTTTATAATAACAGCCACCTTCAGAAATTGTTATCAGTTTGGAGCACTTAGGAAAGCCTTATTTGGCCAATTTCAAGTACTTTTTTCTTCCAGAATCCCAAGGATTTCTGATCAGCATTTGTTCTGGTTATTAAACCAAATTGTATCAGTCCCAGGATTTCTGCAAGATTTCTACTGATAACCCTGGGATGTAGAAGACAATTTTTCTTCCTTCATAATTCATGAGCTGCAAAAAGAGGCAAAGAATGTCATCATCTAAATACTTACAAAATGGCTACAACTACAGGAGTTATATTTGGCAAGGTGCAGTTATTATTATATACCCTATAGATGTTTAATATCTTCTCAAAATTAATTAATTTGTCCTAAAAACTAAAAGTTAAACTTAAATAACTAGATAACTAAAGTAATAACTAAAAATTAATTTGTCCTCCAGATGGCCAGTTAAGAAATAAGTTCCATACAAATCAGATTGGCACAAACTTCACTGCCTGTAATATGTAGAGTAGGTGGAATAGACATTGGTGTGAAGAGTGCCCAGCTAACTCAAGAACTTGTTTGCTGGAAAGACTATGCAGCAACGAAAGTAATTCCTAACTGTTATTTGTACTTAAATATCGATTTCTGTTCAATTTTTGTCTTCAGCTTTGAGAGAATGGATCTTTTAAAGAACCCAGTAAGTATATTAATAATACCTGTATTATATTTCCATATGGGGAAAGCATAATTGGAATTACATCTACTTGATTGACTTGTATTTGTACTTGTAGAGCACCAAAACCTCCTAAATTGAAAGTCTGTAGCTGAATGTTTTCCCTCAATATTTTAACAAGGAAGGGGATTGCTATTTTATTTCCTTAGGCTATTCAATAGTCTATTATATTGTCTTAGCATTTTCCCATTTTGTGATTTGTACTTTAGTATGTGAATTAGCATAAAATCAAGCTTCTGTTTTTCTGAACTCTTTGCAGCTCTAAACCATGTAATATCTCCACTGTATTTCCTAAATAGACTGTAACCAATGAGTTTAATATCTGGTCATGTGAATCATACCACTGCAGCTGAGTAATACCAAGTAGCTTAAATTTCTTTTCCTAAATTTGTATTTTGAATTTCCTAGATTCTCAGAATGGTTTTAGGAGCAGATTGTTTTTCTTATTCTTGTCCTTAATATTTCAGTCCTTCTGTGTTTGTTCATATGTACTTTCAAGCTCTCCTGCATAAAGTACATGTTCTTTATTTACAAAGGGGGAAATAGCCCAAAAGCTACCCTTTCTAACTTCCTAGAAAAAGCATCCCTGGTATCTATCCTTTTCTGGAGTAGTTTGCCTGAAATAAAGATATTTCTCCTCATTTATGTTACAGTAGAAATGACCCTGCTGCATGAGTGAGTCCAAGAGAGGATTGAATACAGGTAGGGAAGCTACACAGGCCTGTGCCTGACCTCTGTGTAATTTCATTCGTGGTAGGTAGTATTCAGCTGGTATAAAGGTGAAGCTTCCCACCTGGATATATGGTAAGTAAAACTTGCAATTTATGCCTAGAGTAGATGAAGCAGAAACCCCTCGTGAAAACAAAATTTTGTTATAGTAACAAGGAGACAAACATGTCTTAAAATAGCCAGACTGATGACTTGGGATCAGTGATCATATTTTTCCTCTTGAATTTCATTGAAATGGAGTTCAAATGTGTGCTTGGTCATTTTTAAAATCTCTTGATGTTAAATGAATATTTTCAAATGTTGCTCCAAATGAGAACTCAGAAAACACTATTTATGAATAAGCGAGAGTGTGAGAAGCTGACTTTGTCATTGGGAGTTGGTGGAGGGCACCAATAGCTTCATTTTCTTTGCGAAACCAGTGAGCAAGGTTCTTAAAAGTGGTAACACTAGCACTTTTGCTTCAACAGAAAATCTAGATATGCTTTACATTTCTTACTGATGTATAAAAAGGCTGTGCTTTTACAGTGTTTTACATTACTTTACTAAGCACAGAACATCACATGTGGGATATGCTATGTACTGAGGACACTTTGACAGTTTGGTGGAGTTTCTCTCTTCCTGCTTGTAAGAGTGGTCAGTGAAGGCTCCTGGGCTTCTTGATTGCCTCCATAGGCTCATTTTGTAGGGGCTAATACTGAATTCAGAACTCTTCCTAGATGTTAAGAATTCATGTACGAGCACTGTTGCAACAGAACTTAAATTCTTCAGCCAAACCTACTCATGAAGGAAATTGTCTTTGGTCTGATACATGGTAAATAATGTATATGTTAAAAATTAAATGCATACAAAGATGAAACTTTTACTACCCTGCAGCAGGGATTCTGAAGCTTGTTTTGAATAGAAGGAAAATATGCTCCTGTGGTTTTTTTGCAGACTCTCTGCAAGCCCAGGGAGGCAAAATGTGTGTGTGTGTGGAGGGGCGACTACAACATGTTTTGTCTTCTATAGAACACCATACAGAGTAGCTCTAAAGCACTGTAACTGCAGCATCCAGTAGCAGCAAAAGAAAAATGTCTTTCTGGCCAGCAGCACAGACCACATGCATGGTGTATTGTTTGCTGCTCCTGCATAAATGAAAAGGGGAAGGAACTGGATGTGAAACACCTTGTGCATATAACAGCATTTTAGGAAGATATTTATACAATACAGAAGTACAACACTCTATGTATGTGTTGCTGAATCGAAATATCTGTTATTTTCAGGAGAAAGCTCTCTGGGGCATGTATTAGCCGTGAGGAAGAGAAATCTAACTCTAATGGATCACATAGACAGGATGTTAGAGTAAACCCATGGTCAGAGCTAGTGCTGAAGATCAAAACCTCATTTCATTATGTGCTGGAGGTACCCCAGGCATCTGGAATTGTCAAGGGAGCCAAAGTGTTGTAGATATGTTTCCTAGTTCCTTCTGTTAATGGAGGAGGGGTTCATGGGAGACCCTAGTAAGACAGCTCAGCAGTGTTTTCTTGGTCTTAGAGGTTATTTTTGAACAGAGAACTATTAAAGGTCATCACTTCTTTGCTCTCTGTGCATAAGTGATGTGGCTTTAAAAGCAGGCTTTTCTGGTTTGTTTCATAAAGCAATAGCACCCTTGTAATAGA